GTTGTTGTTTTCAGTCACTGTTGGTGGTTGGTGTTCATACCACTTATCTGCAGCTGGTAGATGGAAATGCTTGCAGATCTTCCAGTGGATATAGCTTGCTGCCCTGTCGTGTCTGTGGATGTACTCAGTTCTGGCTAGAGTGGGGCAGCCTGAGAGGATGTGGTCAATGGTTTCTTCATATTGGCTGCACATTCTACACATGGGGTCTGTTCCATCTTTAATGATCTTGTGGTGGTATGATCTCGTTGACAGTCTTGTGCTGCTATCAACAATCCTTCAGTTTCTGCCTTCAGTCCTGCACTGCGTAGCCACTGATGAGTATGATCTTGTTCTACGTCTGCTTTTTTTTTTTATTCCCAAGGGGTATTGTCCACGCATTGGGGTTTTCCTCCCATGTTTCTCTCATCCTCTTTTGGGCCCATTTCTTTGCCTCCCTTTTGGTCCTCTTGGCAAAGCTTGTTACTGTTTCTTTCTCTTTTCTTGCCACATCTGGGATGTTTAGTTGCTGTGCATATCTTATAGCTTCTGCATGACTTGTGATCCAGCCAAGATAAGGTAGCTAGGAATTTTATGTCTCCTTTATCCGGTGACAAGGCCTTCTTGTTTGGAGGCCAGACAGATGGGGTGTTCGTGTCTGCAAATTAAAAAGTTAATTTCTGTTCATTTTGATTAAATACTTTACCTTTGGGTATGCTACAACTGCCATCTACAACCATCTACTGCCATGGGCTTCATCTTCTGGATTTTTCTGAATTACTCTGGATTATTTTCTGGGGTCCCTGCATTCCTGCTTCTCTTCCTGGGTTCCTGCACGTGGATATCGCCATGTTTGGATTACAATTGCTGATTGGGATGTATGCTGGCATCTCTCCTATGTGGGGTGTTTCGGATAACCTCAGTGTTCCATCTGCAGCTTTGTTCTTTTGGATGTAACACCACATTCTGTGTCCAAGGCCTCTCTGCTATCTGTTTCTCCTGCAGCATGTGTATTAAAGGATCTACCACCATCTTCTCCTGCCTTGTGACCCTTCTACAACTGGTCCAAGGAAATGCAAGTCTTCTACTCGTGACCTCAAGTCCTTGAAGGGGAGGATTTGTAGCGCTGGAAAAGTCTAACAAGGTTATTTGTCCACTGTAATGTCAGAGGTCACCAGACATTGATTAGTCCACAGCCTGTTTCATCAAGGCTTAACTGTGTGCTTTTCACCTTCAGACACAAGCTATCTGTGACCTTGCACCAGAAGGTAGCCATAATAAATTCCTTCTCCTGACTCTCTTATCTGAGCTGCAACTCAAAGGTCCATGCAGAAGACGAGACTTTACACTGAATAAAATGATTCCTTTTTAGGTCTCATAAAATGATTTATTTATATCCACAGGTTGTTTACAATCATATTCTGTGTTATCTACAATGAATGTTCAATCTAAAGTGATTTAATAATGAATTAATTAATATAAATGTTTATTTTTTCGTGACTTATTTCAGATCTTAAATACACTAAATGAGTCTACTTGATGATTTGATAACATTTACATATTACTATCAGTGCATTAACAAATGAATGTTTAACAGATTTACTGTACATTTAGTGGAATAAGCCTCTTCTGAGTGCTTGAGGAATGTGTGACGTTTGAGGGTCATGATAACACCTGTACAAATTTCTCAGATCTGGTTGGTCCAAGTTTATAAACAACCATTTCTTAAAAGTGAGCTCACTTCCCATTTGCCCCAGTTCCTCCAGAGCTCTGAGCTGCTCATGCTAAGTGACCATCCTATGGGGAATCAACCAAAAATTTCAGTTTAATAATTTTAGCAGCTTAAAGAACATCATCCTTTTTGATTATATTTTATTGCTTGCTTTGCATGTTTTAGAATCATTGCATTGGCTCCCCGTATGTTTTAGGGTCCATTTTAAGGTTCTTCTAATGGCTTTTAAGTGTCTTAATGGTATTGGGCCTTCTTATCTCTCAGAACTCTTTTCACCATATGAACCCTCACGGCCTCTGCGTCTCCTGGTCATCCCTAAAGTCAGGACACACACTCACGGCGAGGCGTCCTTCCAGTGTTATGGCCTTCGCCTCTGGAACGAGCTGCCAGAGGACCTCAGGGCCGCAGAGAACGTTCATGTTTTTAAGTCCAGGCTCAAGACCCATCTTTTTAGGTTGGCTTTTATCTAAATGTTTACTACAGTTTTATTTCTCGTTTTACATGATTTTATTTTATTGCTTGCTTTGCATGTTTTATATGATTATATTTTAGCATTGTTTTCATTGTTTAATATTATAATTTTACTGTCTACATTATTTGATTTATTACTTATTTTCTAACTTTTGTCCCTTATATGAGCTCTTTTATTATATTTTTACTCATTTTAATCCAGTGTTTCCTCTGTAGGGGCCCTCTGCCCCGGGAGCGGTGGTCAACTGTAGCTGCCCGGGCGCTCTATAGGTAGTGTTTAAGAGGAGGTGGGGGTCTATGCTCCCCTTCTACTGAGCGCCCTGACTTAGTGTGGAAGACCTGATGCTGCCGGGGCAGACGGCTCCTCTGATGGCGTTTCCTTGCCTTACCCTTACTTGGCTCATCTGGACTCAACCACATATAATTTTTACTTGTGTATGTATGTGTGTGTGTGTGTGTGTGTGTGTGTGTGTGTGTGTGTGTGTGTGTGTGTGTGTGTGTGTGTGTGTGTGTGTGTGTGTATGTATGTGTGTGTGTGTGTGTGTGTGTGTGTGTGTGTGTGTGTGTGTGTGTGTGTGTGTGTGTGTGTGTGTGTGTGTGTGTGTGTGTGTGTGTGTGTGTGTGTGTGTGTGTGTGTGTGCTTGCATATGTCTGTTAATGTTTTTAACCTGTTATGGGAATCTGGGGTCATTTTGTAAAGCACTTTGTTTGAAAAGAGCTTTATAAATAAATCTGATTGATTGATTGATTGATTGATTGATTGATTGATTGATTGATTGATTGATTGATTGATTGATTGATTGATTGATTGATTGATTGATTGAATCAACAATTATATTTTGCTCAATCCACCGCCTCACCACCAACTCATTAAATGTGAAACCATCCACTAGAAGCCACCTGGGAAGTATGCATTCAACCAGTCGTGCATTGACTGAGGTAGCCCTACGACCTTCAGATACATCAGAAGCCCACTCACTCGCATGCTGACACGACTTAGCTTGCAGACCAGATCTCCATGAACTTCCACTACCCTGGTGCCTAAGCTATTCAATAGCATCAGAGTGGTTGGCATTAATTTGATAACTTGTTACAAACAAACAGCCAAATTTATTTTATGAACCCAGACATCACACCTTTTTGAGTCACAGTGAAACTCTTAAACATACAAGGCCATGTTTCATCAGAGTTCATTCATTGTCTCATTTAATATCACTGTGAATAACCATTAATAATCATTTGTATTTCATCATCATTATAATAAAATATAGAATTAAACAGATTTTTATAAATTATACTTTTGTTTCTGTGTCAAACTATTATAAGGTGTTGTTTCCCTGGCATTTCTCAAATTACCTAGTTTAATTATCAACTAAATTCTAAAGGCTCAATAATGTTAATAATTCATATTTTTATGGAATATTACATTTTATTGAATACCTTTATGTTCTATTGACATTTTATTAAAAGTAACAACTTACCAAACATCACCCACACACACTCGGGTTTTGGTAAGGTAGATGCATTTCACCACCCACACCATGCTGAAATGTCATTTCACATGCACGTTTACTGTACACAGACAAAACACACACAGCACTGAGAAAGCAGCTTTGTATTTATTTGTTTGAAGCCACAAATATTATCAGTATGTTTGTGGGTAATAAAGGACACTCAAATTCCTCTTTGGCTCATTAGCATCACTAGTGTTTGGACTACGCTGTGTGTTTTTTTTAATGGAATCAATAAAAGAGAACAGGCAAGAATCTGGGTTCAGAGCTCTGCTGCCTCCTTTCTCCCTGTGTGTGTGTGTGTGTGTGTGTGTGTGTGTGTGTGTGTGTGTGTGTGTGTGTGTGTGCGTGCGTGCGTGCGTGCGTGCGTGCGTGCGTGCGCGCGCGCCGCGTTTGTCTTCATGTGGCCCTGACACACAAACTTTTTTAAATAAAGATTTCTGAATAAAGTTGCCAAAATCCAAATATGGGCTGCAAAAGACCTTCAGAACATCTGGAGAGCTGCTGATCCAGACCAGTTTCCTTCACAAACGCATGACAAAAGTGTGGTTCAAACGTCCGGCCCTGGTGTGAACAGTCTCACTGCCTCGATCTGCTTTAATCTCACCAATCATAACAAAGCTGTTCAAAGGCCAGCAGGTTCTAACCACATGTTTCATAAATAACCTACTGTTTTTTTTTTATTCTGGTGTAGTTTATGTGTCGTTTTGTAAAACACAAATACCTGAAAACAAGAGTCATGTTAAAGGACTGAAATGTGTCCATCCCAAAAGATATGATAATCTCCAACTGTTTCATGTCACGTATTCTTAAATCATGGGCTTCTGACCTTGGTTTTAATTTTATATGGAATAACGTGATTAATTACTCATTTTTGTGACAGGCAGCATAAAAATAAGTCTGAATACAAGTGCTTTGTTACTAAATGTTGGTCCCTGCATCAAATAACAGCAGAACGGTTGGGACGATGCTGCTGCTTAGATTAATTCTAAAAATAATATTCAGCTATACAGTTAGGTTAATATTAGACATACATATTTCTAATTATTTTGGCAACATACAGCCTCAAGCTCCTGTTTGACCGTTATTCGGGGTGAAAGATCATTTAGCGCTGTTTTTCGTGGGTCTGCTGGGTAATGTAGTCCATTGTCTGGAGTCCAGAATGTACCGGGAAAGTGTTTTCTTTCTGGACTACTAACTTTGTGCTAGTACCTTAGTTCATTACTGTAATAACAATGTTATTTTGCTAGTACTTCTTGTTTCTTGACAAAAGGCAAACGGCGCTTGTTTGAGTATCTACAGAAAACTACATTTCCCACAAACCCAAAGGTGTTAGCTGCCTGGTGCGGACGTGTTTGACACTTATTTAAAAATGGGGTTCCGAACCAGTTGAACCGACTGACCGCTAAATTCTGACGTTCTGTCGGTGAATTAGGCGCCACCGTGTAGTTTGTTGTTTTTAGAACCGTGTTGCTATCAAACCAACGTGCAGGAGAAACTACACAGGTGAGACCAGAAGTGCCTAGCCACAAAGACATTATCTCTGCCTCTGATCTCCTCCTTCTTGTAAGTATGGTGAGGTGACACAGTTCATTTAATTTTGATTTGAACAGAAACTCGACTTAACTTTATTTTCTGTGCATTGTTTAAACGTTTCGTCATAAAGCTGACCAAAGATCCCAAAGAGAGTTCGCGGAGGAGTGCACCATCTTGCTAATAAGCAATCTTTGGCCTTAGCCGAAGAGCACCGCGGAGCAGAGACCAGCGGACCCGAGCTGCGGCACTCCCTCTTCGGTATGATGCCAGCCGACAGCGCCATGACTTCCATCGTTCAGAGAATAGCTCGACAGGCTCTCGTCACCTTCAAAAGCCCGCCGGGACTCGGTGAGGACGCCGGTAAATCGTTCATGGAGAACCACAACAAGCTGAAAAGCCTGATGACGGAAGTGCGAGCGGCGGACCTGAAGCTCGTCCCGCGGAGAGCCAAGGACAGCTCGCCCCGTGCGCCCCCCTACCACCACGGGGTGCCCCCGGTCACCTACATGCACATCTGTGAGACGGACCAGTTCAGCATGGGGGTGTTTCTGCTTAAAACCGGCGCCTCCATCCCGCTTCATGATCACCCGGGAATGCACGGCATGCTGAAAGTCCTTTACGGGAAGGTTCGGATCAGCTGCTTCGACGGACTGGAGCGGCCGTCCGGCAGCACGCAGGCGACGCCCCCGCTTCCACCGGCCCAGATGGGCGCTCTGCGGCGCTCTGTGCTCCGCTCCTCGGCGGAATTCACGGAAGAGAGCGGGCCCTGCGTGCTCTCCCCTGACCGGGACAACCTGCACCAGATCGACGCCGTTGACGGGCCGACGGCGTTCATGGATATCTTGGCCCCCCCGTACGATCCGGACGACGGCAGGGACTGTCACTATTACAAGGTTCTGCCAGAAGCGGATGTTACAAACACAGAGCAGAAGGAGAAGCAGGTCTGGCTCGTGGAGATCTCCCAGCCTCCTAGTTTCAGGTGCGAAGGGGAGCCTTACCCTGGCCCCGAGGTCTGCCTTTGATCCATCTGTCTCCACCAAGCTGGTCTTGTCTTTGGCATGAGACCCGGGCTTTTGGACTTGGTTGGACAACAAGGAGCCCGTGTTTGTCAGTAGCTCAGAAGCTACAAATTAAGGGTCAAAGATGTGTTTTAATTGTGACTTAGAATGTAAAGTTCCTCTTCAGCGTTGATGCAACTCAGACTGATCATTAAACATTAACAGAGCAGTCCAGCTTTGTGCCCCAGAGGTGAGACAGTCTCCAGACTAATCTGAGCCTGGGACCGAAGCGACCTTTAGTGGTCTTCGGTGCATTTATTGGGTAATAACAGGAGTAAATACGTTTTACAGTCCACCAGCATGGCTTCAGGCTGAAGCAGCGGCTCCAGGTGTTAGCCATTAATGCCACACTCAGTCAGCTGATGATGTTGCATGACAGGCTGCTGCTCACACTCACACAGATGTGTAATCTCAGCCTGCAGCTGAAGCAGCATTAGAGACAATGTGTTCGACTCGTCTTCCTGCTGCAGGCTTTGTCTCAGACTTAAAAGAATTTTCCGAAGTGAAAACCACCTTAAACGTTATCGTTGACTCTGGACCACCTCCTCCCTTAGCGTTTCTCTGAGAAGATCCTCAGGGACGCGTACTGAATCAAGCTTCAGCACAAACAGCCTTCATGTTGTAATCATCAGATTAAAAACTGTTCTTGTGGTTGAAAATAAACATCAGAAACGTGTTTTTGCGTCGGTCTGAGGTCCATTATAAATGCAACACACAGCAGCATGAACCAGGAGCTCCAGGGTTTAGCTGCATGTGGTAAATGCTGAATCATTCACTGCTGCCACCGTGTGGCTGATGGAAGAGTTGGACTGTTGTAGGAAATGCTAGAGAACAAACCAAACCGATCATTTACAAACAGAATATTTCAGAGGCTCTGTTCCTGTTAGTATCTCATGTAGAGGTCGACTGATACTGGTTTTTCTATTGCAGATAGGTACGGTCACGGTCAGCCGATGGCCGATTTGTTATGCCGATATTTTGGGCCGATTTTCACAGTTAATAACTAGACTCTCCACCTTATTTCCATGCTAGTACCATCACAAAACTTCTGAAACCGAATCAGGTTTTGAACACTAGCTTTAACCAGCTGTTAAATCTTAAGTTTAACAGCTGCTCAGTGTTGAAATCAGACATCTAACTAAAGTTAATCAAACAAATGAGTCCACTAACAAAGTGTTCAATATTCTAAAATGGTAAATTATAAGACATTTAATAGGTGAAAGTAGTTTTTGGAGCATGTAATAAGCAGATGTTATTCGGGAATGTAAACATACATATAAATGAAATTCTGCAGCAGGCTGCCTGGGCATGTGCCTGACTTAAAATCAGCCTTACTAAGAAGTTATATCAGTTGATGCTCATATACGGAAAATGTTAGATATCAGCCTGATATATCAGTGTCCCCTTAACCTCGTGGAACGTTGTGAGTGAACACAATGATCCTACAGAAAGAAGCGTGTCTCAGGGACCTGCGGTGACACAGGCAAATTCGGGGGTTAAAAAAAAGATGTAATTAACACAAAGTGCTTCTGACATCAGGCATAAACTTTTACCCAGATAGAACACTAATTAGTTAACACAAGTAGTCCAGCTGAATCAGCTGCAATTAAACACAAAGGAAATCCCATTCAAGCATGGAGTTGGGGACTGCCCTGCCTGGTTACTGGCCAGGCAAAAACCCCTCGTTGTTTCTGACAACAGCTAAATTATTCAGCTGCAACTCGCCCACAAACAAGTCCAGCCCGGTATTGGGCTACCGGATCGGCTCGGGGTCCTGTGCCTGATGATGACGTCACTGCGGCAAATCCACTCGGCTTTCACACAAGTTTTGGACCAATCAAAGTCTTCAGTGTCAGCATGCTAACGTAACTTTTATAATCATGGTATTGTAACTTCCATAAGTCCTGCGTTCAGCCAATCATCTAGTGTGACGTCATCAGCAGGCGCAGGACCCCGAGCAGATCCGGCATTTTCACCAGAAAGATTTAATAAATAATAAAAAAGCACCCACCTTATTTTAATCTGCAGAAGCTTCTGCAGAGCCTAATAAGCTACTGAACATGTGATTCAGTCAGTGAATCAAGTGTGTTGGAGCAGAGAAACAACTAAAACATGCTGGATACCGGCCCTCCAGGGTCCAGGATTGAGGACCAATCAGCTTCAGATGAAGCGTTAAATGTTTCTCCTCATTAGTGTCTGTACATTGTAGGAATAGATGCCTTGTGAATCATTTGCTAATTTTCTAATTCTAATTTTCTTTCTCAGGAAAGCTGAGGCACTCTGTTTTTTTTTTGGGGGGGGGGGGGGGTTACAACTCATTAATATTCATGACATACAAATGTCTTGTCTTGGATTGGTGATTGGTTAACAGAAACACAACTCTTCCACTGCCTCCATTCACAAAGTTGATGTTTTATGTCCACAAATAACACAAGCCTTGAAGAGTTCTGCTATGTGGTGCAGTTGCTAATGCTAATGATGAGCTTCTACTACCTGAGACGTGCTCTGCTGTTTCCTGGACATTAAACCAACAGCAGCCCTCCCTGTCGTGAGTCATTAATGTTAAGTGACAGTGTGACGTAGATCTGTCAGGCTTTTCTAATCCTAGATTTTCACGTCTGTTTTCTATCAGAAGCTAACGCAGGAGATAGGTGTAGGAGACTATTTTCATGTTCAGCTTGCATGCTAAACTCTGAGTGACTCATTATAAGCAGAAATAATCATTGAAATGGGTTTTCAGCTAACCACACCTTTATTTTTCCTTGTGGACCTGATCGTTTTCGTGGCTGATGCCGTGGAGCTGTAGTCTGACAGTGCGCAGGCGACGCCCCCGCTTCCTCTGGGCCAGAAGTGATGTGATCATGTTCAGCATGCGTGAAACTCAGAGAGACCAGTCGTAGTCATCTATAAAGACAGCAGGGGTTTTTGCTCAAAAGAGTGTCCTGTGGCGTGTACTACTCGTCTTATGTGTCTTTATTTTAAAAGAAGTACACCAACAAGTGAACAAACCAACATTTATTTGCACTGACACAAAGCATCTGCTGCTTCATTTAGTTTGCATAAACCTTCTAAAACCAAGAGGAAACTGCACACTGCAAGCCATCCAAAAACAACAGGAATTAAAGCTGCAAGCAGCGTCGTTCGGCCCTCGCAGCTCTGCGCCGCTCCGGCCTGGCCAGCAGCCCGGGGCACCAGGGCACGTCTGGCAGAACAGAATCGTCAACCACCCCGACGCCAGAATCTGCAAATGGCTTCCTAGTCCTCACCTCACCCTGACTCAGCATCCCCTCTGAGCTCACCATTAAATTGAATTGTAAGGTTACGGCGTTACGCCAGAATTCGCCATGGCATAAAAGCCCCTCCCTTTCTGGAAAGCAATCAGATCTGAATGGTCATTACAACATCATGAAGACAGTGTATGACCTTAGTGTCATGTTCACTAAATTAGAGGGGACAAATATGGGTATTTCAGAATAAAAAATAGACTTCCTGTAGTCAGGGGGCGGGGCTTAGGTGATGTCAGCTGTCCACATTGTCATTTTTTACAGATATGGTCAATGATCACACAGACAAAGTTTGAAAAAGATCTGATCATGCACATGGGAGTTATTAAGTCAAGTAAAGTAATGGCGAAAGGTCAAAGTTTGAGGCTTAGCCACGCCCACACCTTTCAACTTTTGAAAAATCCGACGGTTGAATTTTTTCCCCTACGTCGTATGAGTATACAGCAGAAGTTTGAAAGTGATTGGTGAAAAGGGCGACAGAGCATCACTCTCCAAACAACGTGTGCGAAAACCACTAAATCGCGTACTTGGACCAAAATGGCCGACTTCCTGTGCGACTTTGTCCTGGCTCCAAGAGACTTTTTTGTAGGTCCTGAGACACCACATTAGTGTACCAAATTTCGTAATCCTCAGTCAAAGCATGGCTTGGGGCTATTAGTTTAAATGGTCCTAGGGGGCGCTATTTAAGAGAATAGGCCACGCCCACAAACTTCAGCTGTCTATTTCTCTTGGGGGTCAGACTAGGATCACTCACCAGAAGTTTCGTAGCGATATCACGATAACTGAAGAAATGAGAGGCAAACGTATTTCCATGGCGTGATGGCGATTTTCGCCATGCTCCCAAAGCCCCGCCTTTTTTCAAAACCTGCCAGTACTGGAGACTAAGTAACCTCAAGTTGTCTACTGCTGTTTCCCACAGAATCCTGGTGATTGGGTAAAAGGAGTCCAGTAGGGAGCTGTGAAAAAAAGAGTGGCGTGGCGACAGGTCAAAGTTTGAGGCTTAGCCACGCCCACACCTTTCAACTTTTGAAAAATCCGACGGTTGAATTTTTTCCCCTATGTCTTAAGAGTATATAGCAGAAGTTTGAAGGAGATTGGTGAAAAGGGCGACGGAGCATCACTCTCCAAACAACGTGTGCGAAAACCACTAAATCGCGTACTTGGACCAAAATGGCCGACTTCCTGTGCGACTTTGCACTTGGCTCCAAGAGACTTTTTTGTAGGTCCTGAGACACCACATTAGTGTACCAAATTTCGCAATCCTCAGTCAAAGCTTGGCTTGGGGCTATTAGTTTAAATGGACCTAGGGGGCGCTATTTAAGAGAATAGGCCACGCCCACAAACTTCAGCTGTCTACTTCTCTTGGGGGTCAGACTAGGATCACTCACCAGAAGTGTCGGAGCGATATCACGATAACTGAAGAAATGAGAGGCAAACGTATTTCCATGGCGTGATGGCGATTTTCGCCATGCTCCCAAAGCCCCGCCTTTTTTCAAAACCTGCCAGTACTGGAGACCAAGTAACCTCAAGTTGTCTACTGCTGTTTCCCACAGAATCCTGGTGATTGGGTAAAAGGAGTCCAGTAGGGAGCTGTGAAAAAAAGAGTGGCGTGGCGGCAGGTCAAAGTTTGAGGCTTAGCCACGCCCACACCTTTCAACTTTTGAAAAATCCGACGGTTGAATTTTTTTCCCTATGTCTTACGAGTACATAGCAGAAGTTTGAAGGAGAATGGTGAAAAGGGCGACGGAGCATCACTCTCCAAACAACGTGTGCGAAAACCACTAAATCGCGTACTTGGACCAAAATGGCCGACTTCCTGTGCGACTTTGCACTTGGCTCCAAGAGACTTTTTTGTAGGTCCTGAGACAGCACATTAGTGTACCATATTTCGTAATCCTCAGTCAAAGCATGGCTTGGGGCTGACAGTTTTAATGGTCCTAGGGGGCGCTATTTCAGAAAATAGGCCACGCCCACCGGATGTTCACATCAGATCTTTTGATGGGCCGGACTAGGATCACTCACAAGAAGTTTCGTGACGATATCTTTGGAAATGACGAAATGGGAGGCAAACGTAAGGCCAAGGCGGTACGCCTGAATTCGCCGCGCCGCCACAGCCCCGCCCTCTGCCGAAAACTCCCATAAAGTGACGCCAAGCAACCCCCACTTGTCTTGAGTTACCAGCTACAAATTTGTGGTGATTAAGTGAAATGGGGCAATTTGGGACCTTTCACAGTAAAACTTGATCTTTTTGGTCCTGAGGGGGCGGGGCTTGTGTGATGTCATCATCCGACCATTCAATTTACTTTGTGGGTGGATGACGAATGACCACAGAAAGTTTGGTAACTCTATTCCATTCAGTTATGAAGTTATAGCAATTTAAATATTTTTGGCGAGTAGTCAAACTTCGAGGCCTGGCTCCGCCCCTTCAACATATACGAAAACTCAGAATCCTTATCTCATTTTGTTCGCCCATCCCTTCTGAGCAATTTTACACAATTTTTGAGACGATCGTGCGAAAAATGATCGAGCAATCCAATCAGAAACGGACCCTAAAAACGGCAAAAACGGCAAAAAATCGCCATTTCAACCCAAAATGGCCGACTTCCTGTTTGATATTGACCATGGTTGCAAGAGACTTTTCTGTGCGGACTGGTGAGTACTACAAGTGTACCAAATTTCATAACTGTACGATAAACTAAGCTTTATGGAGAGGGGTTTTTTTCACTTTGTAGGGGGCGCTGTTCAGCCATTTTCTTTGCGATTTTTTCGGGACCTTTAAAATATCAAATTTTTCACCAGGCCTGACAAGTGTGCAAAATATTGTGAGTTTTGGGGTATGTTAAGGTCCCCAAAAAGCTGTTCAAAGGGGGCACGGAATAACAAAAAATAATTAAAGCTGCAAGCAGCGTCGTTCGGCCCTCGCAGCTCCGCGCCGCTCCGGTCTGGACGGCAGCCCGGGGCACCAGTGCACGTCTGACAGAACAGAAACGTCAACCACCCCGACACCAGAAACCGCGAATGGCCTCCTAGTCCGCACCTCACCCTGACTCAGCATCCCCTCTGAGCTCACCATTAAATTGAATATTAAGATTACGGCGTTACGCCAGAATTCGCCATGGCATCAAAGCCCCTCCCTTTCTGGAAAGCTATCAGATCTGAATGGTCAATACAGCATCATGAAGACAGTGCATGACCTTTGTTTCATGTTGACTAAATTAGAGGGGACAAATATGGGCAGTTCACCATAAAACAATAGGCTTCCTGTAGTCAGGGGGCGGGGCTTAGGTGATGTCAGCTGTCCACATTGTCATTGTTTACAGATATGGTCAATGATCACACAGACAAAGTTCGAAAAAAATCTGATCATGCACATGGGAGTTATTAAGTCAAGTAAAGTAATGGCGAAAGGTCAAAGTTTGAGGCTTAGCCACGCCCACATCTTTCAACTTTTGAAAAATCCGACGGTTGAATTTTTTCCCCTATGTCTTAAGAGTATATAGCAGAAGTTTGAAGGCGATTGGTGAAAAGGGCGACGGAGCATCACTCTCCAAACAACGTGTGCGAAAACCACTAAATCGCGTACGTGGACCAAAATGGCCGACTTCCTGTGCAATGTTGTGCTTGGCTCCAAGAGACTTTTTTGTAGGTCCTGAGACACCACATTAGTGTACCAAATTTCGTAATCCTCAGTCAAAGCATGGCTTGGGGCTGATAGTTTAAATGGTCCTAGAGGCGCTATTTAAGACAATAGGCCACGCCCACAAACTTCAGCTATGGATATCTCTTGGGGCTCAGGCTAGGATCACTTACAAGAAGTTTCGTAGCGCTATCACAATAACTGAAGAAATGAGAGGCAAACGTATTTCCATGGCGTGATGGCGATTTTCGCCATGCTGCCAAAGCCCCGCCTTTACTCGAAACCTGCCAGTACTGGATACCAAGTGACCTCAAGTTGTCTACTGCTATTTGCCAGAGATTATGGGTGATTGGGTAAAAGGAGTCCAATAGGAAGCTGTGGAAAAAAAGAGTGGCGTGGCGAAAGGTCAAAGTTTGAGGCTTAGCCACGCCCACACCTTTCAACTTTTGAAAAATCCGACAGTTGAATTTTTTCCCCTACGTCTTAAGAGTACATGGCAGAAGTTTGAAGGCGATTGGTGAAAAGGGCGACGGAGCATCACTCTCCAAACAACGTGTGCGAAAACCACTAATTCGAGTACTTGGACCAAAATGGCCGACTTCCTGTGCGACTTTGTTCTTGGCTCCAAGAGACTTTTTTGTAGGTCCTGAGACACCACATTAGTGTACCAAATTTCGTAATCCTCAGTCAAAGCATGGCTTGGGGCTGACAGTTTTAATGGCTCTAGGGGGTGCTATTTAAGAAAATAGGCCACGCCCACAAACTTCAGCTGTCTATTTTTCTTGGGGCTCAGACTAGGATCACTCACCAGAAGTTTCGTAGCGATATCACGAAAACTGAAGAAATGAGAGGCAAACGTATTTCCTTGGCGTGATGGCGATTTTCGCCATGCTCCCAAAAGCCCCGCCTTTTTTCGAAACCTAACTGTACTGGATACCAAGTGACCTCAACTTGTCTACTGCTATTTGCCAGAGATTCCTATTGATTGGGTAAAAGGAGTCCAATAGGGAGATGTGAAAAAAAGAGTGGCGTGGCGAAAGGTCAAAGTTTGAGGCTTAGCCACGCCCACACCTTTCAACTTTTGAAAAATCCGACGGTTGAATTTTTTCCCCTTCGTCTTAAGAGTATATAGCAGAAGTGTGAAAGTGATTGGTGAAAAGAGCAACGGAGCATCACTCTCCAAACAACGTGTGCGAAAACCACTAAATTGCGTACTTGGACCAAAATGGCCGACTTCCTGTGCGACTTTGCGCTTGGCTCCAAGAGACTTTTTTGTAGGTCCTGAGACACCACATTAGTGTACCAAATTTCGTAATCCTCAGTCAAAGCATAGCTTGGGGCTATTAGTTTAAATGGTCCTAGGGGGCGCTATTTAAGAAAATAGGCCACGCCCACAAATTTCAGATGTCTATGCCGCTTGGGGGTCAGACTAGGATCACGCACCAGAAGTTTCGTAGCGATATCACGATAACTGAAGAAATGAGAGGCAAACATACTTCCATGGCGTGATGGCGATTTTCGCCATGCTCCTGAAGCCCCGCCTTTTTTTGAAACCTGCCAGTACTGGATACCAAGTGACCTCAAGTTGTCTACTGCTGTTTGCCAGAGATTCCTGCTGATTGGGTAAAAGGAGTCCAGTAGGGAGCTGTGAAAAAATGAGTGGCGTGGCGACAGGTCAAAGTTTGAGGCTTAGCCACGCCCACACCGTTAAACTTTTGAAAAATCCGACGGTTGAATTTTTTCCTCTTTGTCTTAAGAGTATATAGCAGACGTTTCAAGGAGATTGGTGAAAAGGGCGACGGAGCATCACTCTCCAAACAAGGTGTGCGAAAACCAGTAAATCGCGTACTTGGACCAAAATGGCCGACTTCCTGTGCGACTTTGCACTTGGGTCCAAGAGACTTTTGTGTAGGTCCTGAGACACCACATTAGTGTACCAAATTTCGTAATCCTCAGTCAAAGCATGGCTTGGGGCTGACAGTTTTAATGGTCCTAGGGGGCGCTATTTCAGAAAATAGGCCACGCCCACCGGATGTTCACATCAGATCTTTTGGGGGGCCAGACTAGGATCACTCACAAGAAGTTTCGTGATGATATCTTTAGAAATGACGAAATGGGAGGCAAACGTAAGGCCACGGCGGTACGCCTGACTTCGCCGCGCCGCCACAGCCCCGCCCTCTGCCGAAAACTCACATAATGTGACGCCAAGCAACCCCCACTTGTCTTGAGTTACCAGCTACAAATTTGTGGTGATTTAGTGAAATGGGGCAATTTGGGACCTTTCACAGTAAAACTTAACCTTTTTGGTCCTGAGGGGGCGGGGCTTGTGTGATGTCATCATGCGACCATTCACTTTACTTTGTGAGGTGATGACGAATGACCACAGAAAGTTTGGTAACTCTATTCCATTCAGTTATGAAGTTATAGCAATTTAAAAAATTTTGGCGAGTAGTCAAACTTCGAGGCCTGGCCCCGCCCCTTCAGTATTTACGAAAAGTCAATTTTATTGTCTCATTTTGTTCGCCCATCTCTTCTGAGCAATTTTACACAATTTTTGAGATGATCGTGCAAAAAATGATCGAGCAATCTAATCAGAAACGGACCCTAAAAACGGCCAAAACTGCAAAAAATCGCCATTTCAACCCAAAATGGCCGACTTCCTGTTTGATATTGACCATGCTTGCAAGAGACTTTTCTGTGCGGACTATTGAGTACTATAAGTGTACCAAATTTCATAACGGTACGATAAACTAAGCTTTATGGAGAGGGTTTTTTTTCATTTTCTAGGGGGCGCTGTTCAGCCATTTTCTTTGCGATTTTTTTGGGACCTTTAAAATATCAAATTTTTCACCAGGCCTGACAAGTGTGCAAAATATTGTGAGTTTTGGGGTATGTTAAGATCCCCAAAAAGCCATTCAAAGCGGCACCGGAATAATAAATAAAAAAAATAATAATAAACGGAGCAAAAACAAGAGGCCTTCGCAGCGCTTTCGCTGCTCGGGCCTAATAATAATCAGAGCAAAAACAAGAGGCCTTCGCAGCGCTTTCGCTGCTCGGGCCTAATTCAGATAAAAAATATGGCTTCATGTTGCTGCATACCTGAAACTAAACCCTGCTCCATGTTTGATCATGTGGCACGGATGAGTCAGTCTGTCAGAAATAAACATACTTCTTTGATCAAACTTCCTGATGATGACTAAAGCTGAAATAGACTTTCTCTTATCAGACCTCCGCTGCATCAGCATTGTTCACCTGTAGGAAAGTGAATCTGAATGGGTCCTGCAAAACCGGGCTGATCTGAGACCCTAGCTGCTCTGAGGCGCATCAAGTGAATCCCTGAGAACTTTGACCTGTTGGTGACCTGTGGCTGGATCTGAGCTTTTTGCTGCAGAACTTAGCAGGAGGCGCTGGGCTGGCGCGTGAAGATTAGGACGCTGAGGTCTTTTTGTCTTTCTGCCGCAGGTGAATCTTCATGTGCCTCCTGCGCTCGTCGCTGCGGGCGAATTTCCTCCCGCACTGTTCGCAAGAGAAGGGCTTCTCACCGGTGTGAGTGCGGATGTGCGTGGTGAGGTGGTCGCTGCGGCTGAAGTTGCGCATGCAGATGCGGCACTGGAACGGCTTGTGGCCGGTGTGAATGCGCAGGTGTCGGCTTAGCTCATCTGACCGTGAGAAGCGGCGGTCGCAGCTCTCTGCCGGGCAAGGGTAGGGCCTCTGGTGGACGGGCGTCTTGCTGGGCCGGTTTGGGTACTTCCTGGGTCTCAGGATGGGCCTTAGCGGGAGATTCTGGTGGCCGGGGAAAGCCATGGCCATCGGGCCTTCTGTGGCTGCTGACGGCGCAGCAAGCGTAAAGTTCCTGATGGTGTTGAGAGGTGTAAGAGGCGGGGGCACCCGGAGGGAGTCCAGGGGGTACGGGAGGGGCTTCCGCTCCGGGAAGGACGTCTGGAGGTCTCTCTGGCAGCTCTGTTGGTAGAAGCCTCCGTACTCCGGCATGATGGACAGCAGCGCGGTTCCGTCCACGGCCGGCTTTTGCGAGGAGCCGTAAGGCTGCGGAGGATGGTAGGACACGGCGCAGGTGGACGGAGCCAGGTACCCCCCTGCTGACTGGTCCTGGTACATGTCTCCGCTGCAGGAATAAGATGGGGCCACGTGCGGGTGGGGCGGATTGGGCGCGTACATGTGGCTGATGTCAGGCGGGCCGTGCGCCATGTTGCAGTCCGCCGCGTCTCCACCTCCCGTTGCGTAAATGTCAGATGCTGGGGGTGACCCTGCAGGTACCGAGGACTCGATGTCAGCTCCGACCACGTTAATTACGTCACCCGTTGTCCACGGTCCTCCCGCACCCTGGGATTCCACCGAAAACCTGCCGGTAAACACCACCGGGTGTGTGCGTAAAGTTTCTGCGTAGTGTGCCAAGTCGCCTTGGAGCAGCAGCTCAGGTGAGCTCGTGGTCCTGAACAGAAGGTCACCTGGAAGACAGAGAAGGGAAAACAGAGCCAGGGTTAAACTCACCCGCTTCAGGAAGGACTTTTGTTGCACGGAGCACAAATCTTACCGCCTTCATCTGCCCCCCCATTTTCCTCCTCTCCCACAGGCTCCTGCTTAACCGCCAGCCCCCCCTCCGCCCTGAACGCAGAAACACCCTCCACCTTGGCGGACTTTCCGTCTTCACTGTCTCTGATTCTAGTCACGGTGGGTGTCCCTCTTCATCCTCTCCGTTAACTCCGGTGTTTTCTGCCTCTCGCCTCCGGTAAGCCTCGGGAATGTGCCGTAAGATATAAAGGGATTTCCCGGGTAACCCTTGACGTCATTTACCAAATATGGACTTACTGTCACAAAAAAGAGGGAACTCCAGAAATGGACAGCGGAGATTATCCCTGGCTAGGATTAAAACTTGAAGATAACAAATCATGAGCCAAACTTTATGGTTTGATTCGCTTTAGTCTTTAATCTTCCCGCAGCTTTAGCGGCTGTTTGAGGGCGACATTCGGAGTTCCGACGTCTGTCTCCATAAATGGGTCCCTCTCCGGTGAGGCAGGAGCCCCGGCTGCTTATAAGGCTGGTATCCGGTGCCAGCTGAGCCCACACGGACCAAACAGGCCCATTTGTTATCTGTCAGCATCTGCTCCCGGCGGCTGAGATAAATTAGGTGATTAGAGACGCGGAGTCACCTGCCTGCTGCAGCATCAGTGGATGGAAGGAATAATCAGCTGCTTCAGCCTCAGGGCCCATTACTGGGTTTAAAGCTCGTGTTGATTTTATAGTTTATTTCAGATTTAAACTTTGGTTGTGCAACACTGAATTGAGGTGCTAAAAATACAGCTGCCTCGCCTTGTCCAGAAAGTCCACTTAAAAACGTTCCAATACGAAATAAAATAAGACGTTTCCGTTCTTTTGATTCATTGAGAAAAATAATCTATCCACATGAACTTCAGTTTAGAAGCACTCAAACAGATTTAAGTAAAACGATGGTCCTGTTTTCCTCCTCAGCAGTCAGAATGTTATCTTTAAAATTATTTAAATCAGTTTTCCTGATTTGAATAAACGTCAAAAATAAACGCTAATTATTTTAATATGATTGTAGTATTTATATATAGTTTAGTTTGTGTCTATTGTAACAATTTGTAGGTGGTTACTTTTAATAAATTGTCAATAGAATAAAGGTGTTCTATTAAAGCTAATATTCCATGAAAATATAGATTATTAATATTATTGAACCTTTAATATTCAATCGATGATGAAACTAAGTACTTTGGCTATGCCAGGGAAACAACACTTTCTAGTAATTTGACACAGAGACAAAATTATAGTTTACAAAAATCAACGTATTAACATATTTCTACAATGATGAGAACAAATAGTTATACATGCTGAGTTAAGGTGATTTCAACTGAGACACTGAGTGAGCGCTGATGAAATAAGAGCTTAGGTGTTAATTTTAAAAAAATCTACAAAAGAAAGAAAATTATCTTTATTATAAAGTGCCTCTAGATAAAATCACGAGGTGCTTCAAAAAGACAAAGAAAATTAAAGTATAAAAAAGATTTCAAAAAAGTTATTAAAGTATGTTTGAAATGAGAAAAAATTAAAACAGAATTTAAAAAATATTAGGAAAGGGAGAGAAAAAATGAATAGAAAAGAGGGAAATCAGTGGATCCCAGGAAAGGCAGAATAAGAACAAAACAAGGAGAGGGTGATGAAGGTCACACCAAAGCTTGCTTGAACAAGTGAGTTTTCAGCTGCTTTTTAAAGGAGACCACTGAGTCCACTGATCTCAGGCTCAGGGGGAGAGAGTGAGTCTGGGGGCCACAGCAGCAAATGATCTGTCACCTTTGGCCTTTAGCCTGGTGCTGCACAACCAGTAGGCTTTGATCACTGGACCTCAGGGACCTGCTGGGGGTGTAGGGACTAAGAAGATCACCAATGTAAGATGGTGCTTGTCCATGTAAGGCCCTATAGACCAGAACCAGGATATTGAAATGAACCCTGAAGTTGACTGGCAGCCAGTGAAGCTGGAGGAGAAGCGGGGTGATGTGGGTGTGTTTGGAGGACTTGGTCATTTTGAACTTGGAGACGGCCACAGAGAAGGAACGCTCAGACAGATAAGAGGAGAACCAGCCCAGACAACACATTCTCACTCCCAGCGCGTCAAAAACAAACGCTTGGTCAGCCAACCTCCGCGTCAGACCCCTGACACCAAAAGTGCCTTTTTCGTTACTTATGTGCGAAAAGGGGTTTTTCCCTTTTGTAACTGCAGATCCCAATGCAGCGTAAAACTGACGTGATGGGATATCCGCTGATGCGGCACAGAACCAGCTCATGTAACCGCACCTAAACCTTAACATTTCACTATTTATAACCTTCCCCTCACCCTCTTCCTAACCTTCGGACTGGAGGGTCGAGTCACTAGACTCTCTGTGTAGACCTTCATTCGTTCGCAGGCTGCTGTGGTGTTAACAAGTGAAGCTTCCAAATAAACAGAGACGTGTTCCCGTACTTCAAAGGTATTTTTCGCCTATCTCTTATTTGTCCTGAGACCATGAGCTCGAACCTCTACAGCTCGCCCGTTACATTGGTGGCAGCGGTGTTTGGCAGCGTTTACCCCCGGGACGTGGCTCGTGAGAAGGCTACGCAGGACCATGTTCGGAGGCTCTTTTACCGGTATGGACGAGGACAAGCAGAGCCCAGTTTGGACTGAGGATGTATGTAACATCAAAGTGGAGCTGCCCGCGCCATTTTGTGGCGACGGTCGTAAACTCTTCGCTACTTGGACTAAACAGTTTGAGGCTGCCGTTCGCGCCCAAACCCGAGGAGCGGGAAGACGGAGCTACATCGCCACTTCGGCTGCTCTTTTGCCCACCAGACTGGACGGGGCCGCTTTCCTTTTGTGGGACAGCCTCCCTGCAGCTACGCAAGGTGACTTTGACCGTGTTGAAGAGAAGTTAAATGAGGCATTTGGACAGAAACAGTTCATCTTGTACTTTCAGACTTGTGTTTCTGCTCGGCCTAGGCTGGCTAATGAGAGTTTGGAGATATATGCGGCTGATATTTCGAAAGCCTTGGAAGTACTTAAGAAAGACCTGAGGGAAGACAACGAACATCTGCGGAAGGACATCATGTCCCTGCGCTAGGAGCTGACTAGCAAACTCGATAACATTGCGGAGGAGATGCAGGGACTGAAGGCGAGAGTAGACAAGGCGGAGAACTGAGTGGGGCTGGTGGTGGAGGCCACGGTGGAGTTAACGGAGGCGATTAATGCATGGAGCAAAAGGCAAAGGAATATCCAAAATGAGCTGACAGATCTTGAGTCCAGATCGAGAAGAAACAATATTAGGATTTTTGGAGTGGCAGAAGGAGAGGAAGGGAAATCGATGCACCAACAGACTTCCTGAAACGCGAGCTGGCCCTATCTGCAGAGCTGGACCTCGGGATCCAGCGAGCCCACAGAGTCTTTGCGTCCAGTTTCCGCATAAGCACGCAGCCGAGGCCAATCATCGTAAACTTCCAGGAATTCATAACTAAAGAACGGATCCTAAAAGAAGCCCGGAAAAAAGGCCAGATTAAAATAAGAGACAAGAATATCTACTTGGATCAAGATTACGCAAAAGAGGTGATCCAAAAGCGCAGAGAGTATCAAGGGATCAAGAAAGCACTGAAGGAAAAAGGGATTTGGTTCCAGACCCCTTCACAAGCATTCGGATCCACTGGGAGGACGGAGCTCGAGTATACGGCAACGCATACGAGGCGGGGCGGGAGCTGCACCAAAGAGGAATGTGTGTGGAGGCACCGGCAACACCGGCGGAAGATGAGGAGATCACAACCTGGCTACAGGAGATTGTTAGCTGGCGCCAATCCCCACCCCCCACCCCCCCAGACGGCAGCGAGAATCACCAGCAGCATGAAGGGCGAAGGAAAAGCTGAGAGAGTACAAGAGGCCCGGTGATAAATAATATGGAAAAGGCAGAAAATTCAATATCCTCATCTAATGCGAAGGGGAAAATCCTCGTACGATGAGAGAAATGGAGGAGCAGCACCAGGAGGAGAAGATTAGTTGGACAGACAGGATGGAGGCGAGAGCCCAACCTTATATAGGGCCCATTACGGGAGGACTAACCCTTCCTCCAATAGGGAAGGGGAGGGAGAAGTATCCCTCCCACATGGTGGGAGTTCCAGGTATTGTCAGTACCATTTTTGTTCATATTATGGTAGGTTTTTGTTTTACAGTGGTACAGCTGGGTCAGAGGGTTACAAGGTTACTGACTCCAGCGTTTCTGTTTTTTATCCTTACTGTTGTTGTTGTCATTCCTAGTGGTGGGATCAACTGTTATACTGTACTTGAGGCATGAGTGGCCGGGCTAATTTGAAAATAATGACATTAAATGTGAATGGTTTGGGTAACCCCATTAAGAGGACTAGAGTCTTAACAAAGCTGAAGAGAGAGGACGTGCAGGTGATTTTCTTACAAGAGACACACATGACAAAGAAAGAGCACGAAAAATTTAAGAATTTGGGGTATGAGAACTCATTCTTCAGCTCAGGCAAAAACAGTAGGAGAAGAGGAGTAATAACACTCATATCAAACAAGGTTAATTTCGGGTTGATGGAAGAAGTGGGGGACAAGGATGGCAGATATATCTTCATTAAAGGGAGAATTGATGGTACGGTGGTAACATTGGTGAATGTATATGTACCCCCAGAGGCGGACCCAAAATTTCTGCAGTTGTTAATTGATAAAATTGTATCCTTCAGTGAGGGGATCTTGATTAGTGGAGGGGATTGGAATACAATATTAAACAAAGCAAGAAACACTACAAGCACAAAAAAAGAAATAATAGATCCAGAAAACTCGATGCTATGATCAAAGAATTAGGGCTATGCGACGTGTGGAGGAATATACACTCTTCAGAGAAAGATTTTACTCACTATTCAGCAGCTCACAAAGTACATTCGAGAATCGATTTTTTTTCCTGATTAATAATTTAGATTTTCACCGGGTGCAGGCCTGTAACATAAGGACAGCAGAAATTTCCGATCATAATGCAGAGGACATGATTATAAAATTAGAACAACAAAATGAACGCACGCAATGGAAATTGAATGTCAGCATTCTCAGTAACTCAGCAGCAATACAAGAAATTAAAAAAGAAATACAGGACTGTATAAAAACAATAAGGACAGTGTAATAGAGCCAACAATTATATGGGACACAGTCAAAGCAGTAATGCGAGGTAATTTAATATCAAGGATGTCCTGGCTGAAAAAAGAGAAGAAGTTAACACAAAATAAATTGGAGCAACAAATTAGAGAATTAGAAAAATTACAGCACAGAGATAAGAGTAAGGACTTAATAAGGAGCACTGGAGAGGTTAAAAAACAATTACTAGAATTATCAATGGAGGAGATAGAAAAGAAAATGAGATTCACAAAGAAAACCTTTTATGAATTGGGCCCAAAAGCAAGCAAGATATTAGCAAAACGCTTGAGAACACAACGAATGAGGAATGCAATCAAGAATGAGGAATGCAATCAATAAAATTAGGGACCTGAAAACAAAAAACTTAAGCTACGAACCAAAGAAAGTATTAGATATATTTCTAGAGTATGACAAGATACTATACAAGAAACCCAAATTGACCAACAACAAAGAAATAGAAAAATATCTGGAAAAACTTGATCTCCCCTCCATTTGGGAAATTTCAGAATGGTATCTTAAACGCACCAATTACTAAAAAAGAATTTGAGGGAGCTATTAATAGGCTGAAACCAAACAAAAGCCCAGGGAGCAATGGTTATCCAAATGAATGGCACAAGATTTTTAAAGAGGATCTCACCACCCTATTATTGGACTCATTCAAATGGACGCTAAAGAATGCTGAAAGCCCTCTATCCTGGGGAGAGGCTATCATTTCGGTCCTGCCAAAAGAGGGGAAAAATAAGGAACACTGTAGCTCTTATCGCCCCATTTCAATTTTAAATGTGGACTACATATTATTCACATCAATAATCTCCAGAAGATCGGAACTCTTTCTCCCGGATTTGATAGACGAAGACCAGACGAGTTTTATAAAAGGGCAACAGATGCAGGACAATATAAGACGCACATTACATATAATCAGAGAGGTCAATAAACACAAAGCCCTCACGGCGTTAATAATTCTAGACGCGGAGAAGGCTTTCGACAGGGTTAGCTGGCCCTTCCTGTTTGTAGTCCTGAAAAGAATTAGCTTTAATGATATTTTTATAAATTGTATAAAAGCTCTATATAACAGGCCAATGGCCAGAATCAAAATAAATGGAAACCTCTCAGATAGTTTTGAACTCTTCAGGGGAACGCGGCAGGGCTGCTGTTTGAGCCCTGGTCTCTTTGCATTATTCATCGAACCACTGGCCCAATTCATGAGAGAATGATGAGCTGAAGGGGGTGACAATTAGCCTTGTGAACTAGACCACTACATTTATTTAGTCTGGCTTGCCAGGCTAGGTGACAATAGCACGGAATGAACATAAACTAGGACTCTATGCGGACGATGTGATAATATATCTTCAAAACCCTGACACTACATTTACAAAGCTTATGGACGCCCTAAAAGACTTTGGCGGAAAATCAGGATATAAACTCAACATTACAAAGACCCAAATATTAACTATGCACTTCAGGCCCTCGCATTCAGTCAGACGGGAATTCAAACTCAACTGGGACGCAGACAAAATGAAATACCTGGGGATTTACTTAACACGAGAACTTAGCGCATTATATGAGATTAATTATAAGGAGATAAACAACACGATACTAAAACACCTAAAAACATGGAAGATCCTAGTGATGGACATCAGCTCGCGAATTGAAGTGCTTAAATCAAATATCCTACCTAGGGTAATGCATTTCTTTCTCTCTCTTCCGGTAATCATCCCAAATATCCAATTTATAAAGTGGGAAAAACAAATGAGCAACTTTATCTGGAATGGGTCGAAACCTAGGATAAAATTAAAAACTCTCCAACTAGGGAAAGATTAGGGAGGGCTGGCAGTCCCAAATCTCAGGGAATACTATATAGCAGCGCAGATTAGATACATTATATGTTGGTTTTCCACAGAATATCAGGCCAAATGGAAAAACATCAAGCTCAATTACGACACACAACCTCCACAAGCGAAGCTGGGAGAGAAGATGCCAACAAATTCTGACAGCCAAAACCCTATAATATCTACAACATTAAAGGTTTGGTGGGATACAATTACTAAATATAAAATTGTAGGAGATAACAAAGAACTGATCTGGCCATCATACACACCAAATTTTAGAGCCGGCCAGTTAGATAACACTTTCGAGAAATGGAGAGACAGGGGAATCACAGCAATACACGTGTTAACAGAGGGGAGAGAATTTAAAACATTTGACAAACTGAAAAGGGAATTTGATCTGGATAACGGGGATTTTTTTTAGATATTTGCAATTGAGACATTTCTATAACTCAGAGGTAAGAAATTCATTATCTAAGGAGGGGAACGAGTTAATACAATTGATCACAGGTACTCATAAAATGTTACCCACAAAGGCGGTTTCAAAGATATATAAATGTTTGCAAAGATGCAACGGAATCTCAATACGTTAAGAAAAAATGGGAATCAGAACTGCAAATA